CAATTGTTATTGAAATTGCTGACTTAACAATTGTTATTGACATTGCTGACATAACAATTGTTATTGGCATTGATGACTTAACAATTGTTATTGACATTGCTGACATAACAATTGTTATTGACATTGCTGACATAACAATTGTTATTGACATTGCTGACATAACAATTGTTATTGACATTGCTGACATAACAATTGTTATTGACATTGCTGACATAACAATTGTTATTGACATTGCTGACATAACAATTGTTATTGACATTACTGACATAACAATTGTTATTGGCGTTGCTGACATAGCAATTGTTATTGACATTGCTGACATAGCAATTATTATTGACATTGCTGACATAACAATTGTTATTGGCTTTGCTGACAACTTGCATTTTTAGGTAGACATTATAAACATATATAATTTAGTTTATTTTTGGCAATTTCTCAACGTGGTCATACCGTGGGTTGCAGCCTTTGACCGATCGCATGTTTACTCTGTCCAGCCTTAGAGTGTTATCGGTGAGTATTAGTGATTAAGAGAAATGGGCTGCGAGACATTATCTCAAATTGCCTTGTTGATGAAAAAAGCTGGACTATTTGTAATAACGTGTATTAATTTGGGTCGATTTTATACAGGTTAAGAGTTATCCGTCAAGAGTCAAATTTCCCTACACACTACGCTCAGTTCGTTGCAACATTGTGGGTTTTCCCGACCATTATATGTTTGTTTTCTCAACGTTTTTTTTTTATTATTATATATTTCATGAACTGCTTTATTTTGATCATTTTCTCTTCTGAATAACTAGTAGTAACTACTTTCTACTCACCAATTCTGTAAGCATTACTCCAAGTATGACGCCAAAGAATAACGGAAACGTTTTGTTGAACCATCTCCTCATGAAACTATGACTCGGTGCGATATTCTTATTCATAATGTCGATGTCATTCGCTGAAATGAACAGTACGTTATAATGTCATATATTTGAATTCCCATTACTTGAGCTAAGAATGAGCAATTATGAACTTTTAACTTTGAGGTATATATTCGGTGAATAGCATCATATTTGTTTCAGTGAAAACAATGATAACATAGTTTCAGTTGGAAACACAAGTAACATAATTGGTTTTAGTGGAAACAGTGGTGACATAATTGTTTTCAATGGAAACATTGGTGACATAATTCTTTTCAATGGAAACATTGGTGACATAATTCTTTTCAGTGGTAAAAACTTAACATAATTGGTTCCAGTTGTAACAATTTAAATAGTTAACGACTGGAATCAATTAGTAGTTTATGAAGAAACAATAATTAGGTATTTGGTCCCAGCTGTAACAAAGCTAACAATACAATTAGTTTCTGTGAAAACAAAGATAACATACTTGGTTTAAATGGAAATAATGGTAAGATAATTTGTTTCAGTGGAAACAATGATAACATAATCGGTGTTCATAACATTCATGTAAAGATATTATTTCAAGGGAATAGTATAGTAACAGAATCACTTGAAGCGCAGTGGTCGTGCGCGGCGCGTGTTCGAATTTCATGTAAATAAACAATGTATTTTACACGCGTTGTGTACGTCTCTATGAGTCCCATATCGAACAGGACGCGGCACGACGACTGCCGCCCTTTAATATTTCGTGACAGAAATACCAATTTGATAACTTGATATTATTGTTTGGCGATTTGACATTGAATTATATTTTCAAATTTAGCGAGATCGTTTTTGTCTGTTAAAATGGCACAAACATCACCGTTTTCCTGTTGTTTTTTGATCATTTAAAAGAAAGTCATTCTGTGATCATATGATTATGTGTTGGTTTTGTATAAAAAACATTAAAAAATACTGTCAAAATGATGGACCTAATAATATAAATACCCGCGAACGTCGTTAACAACAATTATAGTCATGGTAGATTTAATTGTTGATTGTTAGTCACAATTTTTTTGAAGGTAACTTTGGACCCTTCCATCCACCACAATTTATGCGAACGTAAAAAACGTTCCTGATCATGGCTTAGACGAGTGAAAAATAATTCTGCGCCCTCTGCAGTCCTCATCTCCATTTCTCATCTTGATTCATACTAAATAATATCGTCTTTAATTTTGAAGGGGATATGTTGCGGCATTCACTGTTACTATTCAGGAGGTTAAAAGGCGCCTAGTGGAACACAGTGCAGGAAGACGATGCACAGTGTACAAAATACCTATATGACACTATTTAGTGTATACAATACTTGATGTCCGTTAACGTTTCGAGTGTTTTTGAAATTATTTAAAAAAATGCCTGCTTTGGTGTTCTGTTACGCATAAGAAACAGAATCAGATTTATCGTGAACAACTAAGAACATATACGGTTTATCTATATAGTAATTCAATAAATCATACGACCTTGTCACATAGAGCCGGGGACAGTCGCCGCTGCTGGCGCTGTACAGTTTCAAAATCTTTTGGGGTTCACGCCAATTTAGGGCCCAGGGTGAAAATTTTCACAGACGTAGCACACCCCTCCCCCTTGTGAAAAGCAACAACCATGTTTTTTTCATAGAAGTGTCCTTTGGCAACTTATTTGGGGGGTGTCACTAAAAAGTGATAGCAAGGTGTAGATTTTGAAGGTTGTTGTACTCTGTTGAAAAAACAATTTTTGACAAACTCTAAATTTCACCATAAAATAACGAAAATTGTCTGGTTTGAATATTGTTGTGTTTAATGAGTAAAAATAAATTCCAGCCATCCAACATTGTTATTGACATTGCTGACATAACAATTGTTATTGACATTGCTGACATAACAATTGTTATTGTTATTGTACATAGTATTGCTTAGGAGTGAGTCATTGGAAAAGCTGGGGGGTTGGCAGAACAACTGTGCAACATATTTTGTTCTTCACTTAGTTTAGTGCTATTTTTTGTTTTTAACAAAACAACAATTTTTTCCCTGTTATTGAACCTTGCAGGATTTTTTTCCCATGATTTTTCCTGTGCATTTTTTTTTTCCAATTCTGCCATCACCGCCTCCCGAGTTTTTAATGGTCTCCCCTTAGTTAAAGGGTTAAGAATGCACTGAATATATATTTTTGGCATAGTTTGTTGATTTACTAGATAGTAACTTACACAGGTCATAATTATGTTACTACTATATTAACATACCAATAAAGAAACAATTTTCCAAGTTATGTACTAATGATGAACTTAAATAATTTCGCAAAATGATTTCAAAGGAAAAAATAGAAATGATAGTTTGCATGGTATAGTAAAGTTATGAAATGCAAAACATAAGACATATGACAAAATAAAGATTTCCACGAAATAATAGAAAAATAATTCGACAGTGTATATCTGCCATACATTAGTTGTATACAGTTCAATATGGAAATACATATGACTCATGTACAAGATATATACAATTATACAATAATAATGCCATTATCATCACAGCTAATATCACAAGTATTTTATATGTCCATATCCATATCAGAGTCGTCCGCTGTATTCGATTCTTCTGGGTCAACACTAAGAGCGACTTTATGTGGATTATTACAATCATCACCACTCATACATAAACAGTCATATATGCATGCCATTCTTTGTCTCACACAACTACGGTTTTGCTCACACTTTGCTTTCTTGCACCCACATGTAATGAGTTTTAGAAGAGCTTCAGGGGCAGGTGACTGTGTCATTAGTGTCGGAAACATGTGACCATCGCCACTGTAATGCCATCCATTACCAATAGCGGAGTGGATGACTGGCTGAGCCTCCAATGCTTGCTTCCATATATAAGTTTGGTAGTTTGCACGTATGGAATGCTGCTCTAAACTATCGGATGTTGGTGGAAGGGCTTCATACTTTGCATGTGTGTGACAGAAAAGTTTATGCTGCAGACCATTCATATCTGCCGAGTCAGATGTCCCATCATAGATAATGGTTATCAGAAGTTCTATTGATGTCAGTTCCATCAGAGGTATATCAAAATGTGTGCCAAAGTCCATAAGGCTTCCAAACGTGTCTGGGTTATTCCTGACAAGCTTCCATGGCTTAAGTTTGCCAACTCTTGCAAGACTGGTGGAATCAGTGTGTACTGCTGGCAACAGTCAGCGAACAGTTTACACAATTGTTGACCTAATGCATCAGATATGGAATGGGTGGGTATGAATCGAGATTTATCCTTCACGCCAGTATGGAACCATAGTTCTTGGACAGATTCCAAGGAGTGATTGAGGTATACACAGAGTACTGCAACATCGGTATATGGAGACCACACCACAATTTGAAGGTATTTTTCTGAAGCATGTGCAACATGAAGTAAAAGCCTGGTATCTGCTTCTTCATGTGATGAGAACAGATCTTCGACATCAACAACTCCACCAGTAGATGCCATGCGAGCAATAAGACCATCCTTGAACACTCCTACAACTATAATTTTCTCATCTGGTTCAAGTAACAATTGTGCCATTTTGCACCATGATTCTGATAAGAAGTCTACCAGTTATTCTTTATTTCTAGGATTACCAATATACTTACTCCACTGTGTTGGTATCGGTGTATTAGGGCTATGGATTTTAACTTCATAGCTCTGTGAGGATTACCAATATACTTACTCCACTGTGTTGGTATCGGTGTGTTAGGGCCATGTATTTTAACTTCATAGCTCTGTGAGGATTGCCTTTGGGCTCTCTCGAAAGCCTTGATGGAGTGTTTTGCATCGTATCTATCGAAAATGATATCTACTCTTGTACAGCTCTTGTACTCTTGTATTCTGTTTGTATTTAGTCTGTCTTCCACAAACTGATCCATTGCTTTCATTCCTATGTCTCTCTATGTGCTTTGCATTTGTGTCTCCCACCATATCACACATCACTTTCATAGAAGTTGTGATATATGTGCGTTCATGAGCAGTGATAAATCAAGGGCTCCTGGTCGTAAAGTAAACCCAACAATTCCAACTTTTACCTTACTATCACGGTTTACTGTTTGTTCGAGTGCCATATCTGTCCATACTTCACTAAACTTATTTGTGGAACGAGCAACAGCATGATTCCCTTGTACAAATTGTGCATGTACTTCGGGTCAACAATCTGATAGAAGCTTCATGTCACTTATATACACTGACACTCATCGGGCATAGTTGGTACGGTCAAAGGCAAAGAATAATGGTAACATCTCTATAACTGCTGCCAGATGTAGTTCCCAGTTGCTTGCTTTCAGCTCTTATGAATCGCAATATATATTAACCATTTCGATGTAATCTTTCCAGAAAGTGAATGTTTGTGATGATGCACTTCTTGTAATGCAGAATCTGTTAAGTGCATCATGCACAATATTGATGGCGTCACTTAACTGAGAGAGCGCTACTTCCAGACTAGGTATGTTATCATTCAAAACAGCAGACTGACACTCTTGAAGTTTGTCGTAGATGAAGTCAACATCACAATCTATCTCATTGCCTTGTATCCACTTACAAAATGCCTGCTACCTTAGTCTGAACAGGGCCTCAATTACCAGTTTGTGAGCTCTTACTCCACAATTGTAAGTTTTGCCTTTCAGTAGATTACTTGTTGTAGTGCTGCCATACGCCTGTGATTCTATAAGGATGTCTTCAATACCACTGTCAGCATATTTCTTTCTAATCACTGCCAGGAATGTGCTATGTGGAAACCACCCATTGTCAATACTGTTTTGTTAAACTCTTCAGTACACCTCCACTGAATTTCTTTGGCTTTACAGTGTATAGCCTTGTCGAATGTCAGGACACTGTAATCTTGCCCAAGTATCCTAGACATCTTGCACACATTTGTCATCACTGTATACACAGTGCTCCATTCAGTAGGTGATGCTGGAAGCATTGGGCAGTACCCAATTGATGTTACTTTTGGTACTGTAGAGGAAATCATTGCATTGTAAGCTGTCCATCCAGGGATTTGCTGGGTAGTAAGCCTTTCAAATTCAACTTCAAATAGCTTGATAGGACAACACCTAACAATAAGCCATTGTAAATCAATGCTAGCAGCTTGCTGACATGATTCAATATCAGAAAACCATTTACTGTCTACTTTTCCAAGAAATTTGGATCAGGACGTCTTCCATGACGATTACACTGTAGGATTATGTGACAAATTGTTGGGTTACTAAGTTCTCGTTGTCTAGATGGTATTATTTTCCCCTGCATCTCAGTTGGTACTATTCCAAAACAGCCTTCCGTAATTACTGGATTCTGGCGCTGATACACTACCATGGGTTGTGTGTTTCGCATCTAATGTTTCTTCATTGATATCATCATTGTCTGCAGCAAACTGAACAAAATTTCTATGCTGTATATTTGATGGAATTATCTGCAGCTGCTTTCCTCTGTTGATCCATTGCAATAGCAGTGTCAATTCTCTCCAGGTCTTTACAACTGACACAGTGTGCTAGCTTGTGTACCATTGATACTACCTGATTTGATCCTGTCATATGTCATATGGACATTGCTAGCCCAACATCATCCTTGTCATCTTCCTTGTTATCAGCCACTTCGATTAGTTAGTATTTGAGACAGACCATTGTCCTTCTTGTTATACATCTTCTGACATATTATACACACATTCCAGTTAAAAGGCTGACGGGTAGATCTTTGATTGCGCAAGCTTGCACACTGACTGGAGTCCATGAATGTGCTAGGTTCTGCCATTGGACAAGGACTGGAACTTCTTTCTTGATGCATAAATGGCTTTAGGTTGGTTTTGCTGCAGTAAGACTGGTGACATCGTGCATGATAATGTACTTGTGACAATTTCAATAATGAATCAATATCCAAAGACTGTAATCTCCGATAAACATGGTCTCTTCTAGCAAGATATGCACAATTAAAAGACTTTAGTCCTGCTGGAGTTGCAGTCCTAAGCTGTCCGAGTGCCGAAACCTGGCAAATTGTACACTTAGACCAGTCACTAACCAGACAAGGTTTTTTTTGTTAGAATGGTCAAGGTCTCAGGAAAGTCGTCAGCCATCATTGCATTTCTTTATGTCCTTGATGCTATCTGAATGGAGATTCAAATAAAACATAGAGTTACATCAGATTGTCATGACATGCAAAATTATTATATTTGTACACTTATTTCTTACATCATAATATAAAGTCAAAAAAAGTGTTTGCTTCTCCGCATAGTAGGGACAAATGATGATGCCATACGTGATGCAGTTTTAATTTAATTTTCCATATTAGGACTATTCAATACCTGAACAAGATACATGGGCTACATTTAATATGTATTGAATAAAACTTTCCTATATATGCCATATCTCAAACAAGTTCGTGGTGACACAGAGCATAACGATGATATACCTCAACTAATGGGGTACTTTGAAATTCCGAATTATATCAAACTTTTGAAGATAAAAGATATTGATTGCTTTGCTCAATGGATTTATTTTTATATCACAGTTATTGAAAGTATTTTGCCAATTTCCTCAACAAAATAGCACATTGACAGACAACTGAATGTTGTTACTGTGACCAACTGCACATATGATTTTGAATACTTATCATTGACCCATTATATTACATGTGACTAATTAAAGTCGTCTTTAATTTTTGATTATCATTAAATGCATTTAAAAACTAAATTTTATACTCCACATGTGTTTTCAAAATGGATGCGATGTGAAAGAATTGAATAACAAATTTACTTACCTATACAGGCAGCATACGTTAAAAGGTTACAATATCGCCTTCACAATGTGAATTTAGTGAACAATTTGTGTATAATGAAATATAAAGTTCAGTTGGATAATAGTATCTCCGATTAACTGGCTCTAGGTCTGTACGTGTCTAAACATGATATTCGCACGCATATACCAATCAGTGTCTTACAGGGAAAATTATCATTGGATCCTAGAAATATGAATAAATTGACAAGTTCACCATTGTAAGAAAAGTAACAATGTTATTTAAATTATAGGGCAAGGCTTCTAAGTTTTTTCTATGTTTTTTTTTTATAAACTATATGGGGATTATATATTTTAAGACAGTATTTTAAATGTAAAAATAAATTTAAATCATAATTGAGTTCATAAATTAAATTCAGATGATGATAGTATGCACATTGAAAAATCATCGCATTTACCGCATTTTTGATGAGTTAAAAATAGAATTTTCATATGATTCAGAAAATAGTCCATACTTGTTATCACTTGACAGACCACATCCACCCTAGATTCACTAATGGGGACCCACACAAACAAAAATAGTGTCAACCTTTTCACAGCTACGAATTTCATTTTATATAAATCTTGTAACCATTTTTTAGTATGATAGGGAGCATGTACAATCTTATAAATACCAGTCGAGGTGATAATTTATGATTTTGTTTTTTAAATGCTAGGCGACAGTTCTGGACATTGAGTGTCACTGTGTCTCTTCTGACTTTTTTTTTTGTAAGTGCAAATTGCAAGCGCTAGCGCATTCAGTTCGAGTAAAGGTAATATAAGTAGACCGTTAGTTTCTACCGATATCATGCTTGAGTTGTGTGAAGCAGGACGAAATATAATTTTGAAAATCGTGTTATTTTCGGACAATTTCGATGTCATGGTGTCAACGCTTTCCTACCTTGTGTTATTATATGAGTAGTAGGCGAATTTACCGGCGATTGGCTAATTATGACGACCCCACTTTAGGCCATTTTTATTATCCAAAAAACGTTCCGAGCGCCTGTGACTCGAGCATTTTTTACTTCCGGCAAAGTGGTCTATTGAATACCATTTATTTGTACATCACCTATACATTGCATAATTCATATACACTGTCGTCAATTTAATCCTAAGCAACGAGTAATCACTTACCCACTATCAGCATTAAGATTGTTCTGAAGATAACAAATAAACTGTTTTTTTATGGACCGCCCAAACCTAACGTCCTGCAAACGTCAATAATATGCGTGTCGGGTAATTGAAGGGGAGACGGTCAAAGGTGATTTTGAAATGGGGAGGTGATTTTAGTTTTCGACACATTCAAATACGAGTATATTTCGCGTTTACTATCCGGATATTTCTATTATTTGAGGCCTCTATATATTGAATGCCTCTGTCCTGCCTTTACGAGACTTATGTTAGTACCATTTTCATTACGAGTTAACCTTTGTTAAATAAATGCACACGTTTACGCTCTAATAGTTCTCAAGCTGACTCATAGAAATCCAGAACTATCGTGATAATGGACTTTGGCAAAACTCACCTTTTCTGTGACGCGATGGTAGGTAGTAACAGCAAAATCAATATCTTAAAATAGTCGAGATGGCTTCGCAGTGACATTCACGTTGATTTCAAAACATACATAGGTCAGATGGTCAGAGGTCAAAAAACCCTGGTCACTATCGTGTATGGTGTACAAACACCACCCAAACTAAACATGCATACCACCTAGCCTGACAATCATTAACACTCCAGACATCTTGAGGCAGTGTTGTGCAGTAGCATTCACGGAGTAGGATTTACACTTTAAAAACAGGCATTTTTAGAACAGCATTTCAATTTATCATGAGTTGAGAGAGAATTATAAATTATATCACTCACAAAATAAAAACGACATTAAAAAAACAAACTTGGGATGTTGCCAAATTCAAGTAGTTCTACACTTTTGAAAGTTATTCATCTAAACTCAATTTTAAAAGAAAAAATCACAAATGACACGTTATAGAGTTAGTAAACATACATCAGAGAAACAGAGAATGGAGACATGCCCAACCCAAATCATTTTTAGAAATGAGAGCATGCCAAAATACCAGATTTTTATTTAGCTAATGAGAACAACTGAAGAAACCATGGTTACACACATTGGTGATTATTTGTATATTATTTCATCTATTAGAAAAGAGTGAGCTGACTTCTGATTGTTTTTGTTTTGTTTTTTTATTTTAAAATCTTTTATATGTTAACAATTTATTGCTGTACACAAAGAATAAACTATTATTATTATACATCTGTCACCGTAACGCCATAAGTCATAGCGTGCCGTAATTTTGCGGTATTGCACTGTGTATTTGCATGCTACCATATTAGGAAATTAATAATAAAAACAAACATAGCAGCTCCCAGGGTTTGACCAGACTTCGCGTCTATCGATACTCCGCTGTACTGTCTACTGTACTTTAAACACGATATAAAAAATATGTAATTCAAAAGCTTTTACATTTTTTTTTTCTTTGATTAATGATAGATAAAACTGTGATAATATTGATATCACATATTGCATTTTGGAATATATTAAGGGTTGATCACATTTAAGATCACGTGATCCTTCAAGTGTTTTGTTGGATCTGAAATATTTTGAAATAACTTTAGAGAAGCAGTTTTCATGACTTCGTTACGTCACGGGCTCTGAGATAATTCTCTCAGCCTATCAGATTGTTTTAATTTCCTCCAATCACAGAATCGAAGTGACTTATTGACCAATCAACGCCTTGCATATATTTTGCCGTCATATATATCACGCAGCTACCTCTTGTTGTGTTTTTTCGCACGTTTGTTCCGAGATTATAAATACCCTGGAATTATGTATTTCTGTATGTGTTCATCTGTTGCTACTAGTTACTAACACAGTCTACCTCTCAATAAACCACCATCGTGTTTTTCCATATAACTGTTCTGTTACACGTGAATTAGATAAAACCATTGTCCAATAAAATGTATTTCAATTCAAGATTTGCCATCGTATTTTGACTACAAGATGATTATAAACATTGTGGTAAAAAACCGAAGACATATGTGGCAGACTGTGTTTTTGTTCCTATCATAATTTTGTAAATGTTGCCCTTTATACATAGTGTAATTCCGTACGTCTTTGCTATTACGTAATTTTTAATTTATTTATGTACAACAAAGGGAAGAAGTCTGAGGGCGCTACACATATACCAGTACCCGTACTGTGTAACTGTAAAACTTAGGGCGCATGCGCACGCACATGTCAAGTTGTTGAGAGTTTGATGTATTGATGCAGGACGTAATATTCCTTTGCCCATCAAAATACATATGTGCATCGCATCAGTCATGTGGTTGTTCTTTGAAGCAATTGTTGGTTTACTGAAAATAACATGGTTCAACTTAGTCGGAGTCTTTCGTTTTTTCGTGCCGCCTACTAAGAAACCGTTGGTAGGCGAGATAGTGCTCATAACTGGAGCTGGTGGTGGCATTGGTCGTTTGATGGCAATTAATTTTGCCAAACGTGGGTGTACATTGGTTTTATGGGATATCGACAAAGATGGTAACGACGAGACAGCGGAACTAATCACTGCCCTGGGGGGGGGGGGGGGGAAGGCATACGGTTATCGATGCGATGTGACAAATAAAGACGAAGTTTACCGCTTTGCTGAACAAGTCAAGGAAGATGTTGGTAGCGTAACTATACTTGTCAATAATGCTGAGGTCGTGGCAGGCAAGAATCTGTTGGATTGTCCCGATGAACTGATACTAGAGACTATTAATGTCAATGCAATTTCAAACTTTTGGGTGAGTTTTAACATAAAGGGCGGTGGTCGTCGCGCAAGCGCGTGTTCGAATTTCATGTAAATAAACAATGTATGTTACACGCTTTGTATA